TGGAGATCAAATAACCGAATGGAGAAGAAACAGCGTTCCAGCCCAGAGGAACACAAGAGCTGCCAAGGCGGATCAGACCCAGGGCCCATCTAGCTCGACACCCTGCCTCTGACAGCAGCCAACACCAGGACGCTTTGGGGAAGGTAAAACATGCCGCAGCAAGCAGCTGTCATGTACATCCACCCCCATCACAGTTTCCTCCTTGTCTACAATAGTCAGCTTTCATCTTAGATGGTGAAGCAGGATGATTTTCTGCTCCATTCCCAAACTCTTCCTTCTCCCTCCATCCCATTAATGATGACCATTCAGACTACTGGTGTTAGCCACACAAATGTCCCAATCCCTCTCTGAAGCTTTGTTAATTCTTTGGATTTAATGATATCCAGTCACCAGGAGTCCCATAAATCCCTGAAAGAAGAAAATAGCCAACACCTCTAGAATGCCCATATAAATGAAGCTCTGCACCTTTCAAGCCCTTGTTCAAGGGCACTTTGCTTCGGAGGATGGCAGTCTCACAACAATTGATATAGGGATCATCCCGTTTACGTGCACCCTTTCTGAGGAGCAGCAGGGAGAATGAGGCGGCATGCGTACTTGTAGCGGAAAGGGAAGGCTGGGGTGTTTCAGTATGTAACACAAAACACACACCTGGCTGCCCAGTCATCAGCTTTTGGCTTCCTCAGCAAGACTCTCTACAAGGGTAGGGGGGTAATGAGGGAGGTTTGAAGAAAAAAAAAAAAAGTTTTCTTTGTCCTCTTTAAAAGGATGTGTGATGACCCTTTCACCTGTGTTTTACTCCTCTCTTTCTTTCTTTTGACTGGGGCTGCTTGTTCTTTCTCCTCTGTGCAGGTGGTGAGAGATGGTGCTTTAGTTTGCAGAGCAATTAAAGAAAAAGGAAAGTATCTCATGTTTGGACCCAACGTATAATTACCACGCGACAAACAATGCTCGTAGTGGAAGCACAGTGATAAATGCTGTTAAAAGGAATTGTTTAGTGACTCTGCTGCTATTATTTCAGACTGGATTTCAGAGGTGAGGCAATAGCTTTTATTAGACTAATGCGAGAGGGGTCAGACAAGCTTTTGAGCACCAAGGGCCCTTCATCAGGTTCATTATCTAAAGCTTCCATTCAACAATTAAAAAAAAAAAATTGTGCTGTTAAAAAAAAAAAAATAGGCCAAGTTCTCCTCTTTACTGTGTCAGTATAAATCCAGAATAAGCCTGTGGAAAGTAACAGTATTATCCTGAATTAATGCTGATGTATGATGAATTTAAGCCTATTTTCATTATTCCTCCCCGCCCAGCCTTTAACTAAAATTCAAATATATTCTCTCTCCTCCTCCCTTACAAAGTTACTAAGGACGCAAGCTTCCACACGCAAGAACAATTGTTGCTCAGTGCAACGCTGACAGTTTTGCAGGGTCTTTACTTTCCAGATGCTCCAATTTTGAAATCTGGAGTCTGAGCCGTGACTGACCTGTGTAAAGTTGTCCGCTCTCCCTGACCTGCAATTATACGATCCATGTGCAAATGAGCTTTAAAGTCACTCTGATGCCATTTGTTCCAACACCTTTCCCCGCAGCTCCCTGCACAAACTACCTACTGTATCTCGAGCCTGTCTGTGCTACATACAATGGGACGCAGGGCTGGAGGAGGAGGAGGAGGAATGCTGTCTAAAAAAGGCACATAACAACAGAAAAAGTAGCTGGAACGGAGTAGCGACATCACGGGAACAGAGAGAAGCATTGTCACAGGCCGAGTAATCCTGTGACACGCTGCTGTCAGTCATTGCTTGGCTCCCTGCTGGGCCAGCAAGACATCAAAGCCCGCCCCATACCATCTTACATGCTCTTTATCGGCTAATCAGGCTATTCTTCCTGAAATAAAGCCCTGTTAAATCCCCGGCTCACAGGGGCATTCCCGTCCTGTTGCCCATCTGCTGGTGAGGGTCAGCTGAAGCAGGAGGCAGAGTACTGGCCTATCCCTGGTGGCTTCTCAAAGCAAGGACAATGCTGTCTCCAACTTTTTTTTTAAACCCCTTCCTCTGCTGCTGCCTTTTTTTCTTTCCCGGGCGCTGTGCAGGAGCTGGAGATGTCACAGGCCTACGACCGGTCTGTGGATTAACGCGGTAATTGAACAGCCCACACTTGCTAACAGCATTTGCAGCAACAATTATAAGAAAAAGTCCGAATGGACTGAAACGAGAGAGAAAAAGGCTTGCTTTCTCTTTAAATTAAAGGAGCAATGTTAATGGCAACTGCCTATTGCGAAGGAGTTGTGTTGTGCATACCGAGCAGGAGAGAGGCTCCCCGTCTTCCTTGTTTCAAAACTGAGGGGTCCTGTTTTTTTGTGCGAGCAAAGTGCTTGGGGTCTCCCTTTCATGCCAAGTCAAAGACAGCCTCATGGGCCTTGGGTCCCCTAAACACTGAGCTCAGAATGGCTTCAGTTGGTCATATGAGAACTGAAGCTTCCCCAATTTAGCTCCTGTCTACACCCAAAAGTTGTATTGCCCTAACTACGCTGATACAATCTCAGTGGTAGCAGCAGTGAGCCTCCTCATAGCACGACCAAGAGGGAAACTGTGAAAGATGATGAACAATAGGAACTGCAGTGTACAGCACTGCTCTGGACCTTGCTCAATAATAACTGGTCCACATTACTAACCACAAGAACCTCTTACCCCTGAGCATGGCCAAGTCTGCTACAGTTATTTAAAGCCCTCTCACACTTCTCTGAAGCAGGGCAGTGTCTTCATCACTGTCCTCATTTTACCACCTGACATGGAGAAACTTAGGCCAAAATTTTCAGATCTGGTGGCTCAGCTGGTGTTAATGGGGATAGGACTAGAGACTCCCAGTGACACTGCACACTTATGCCACTAGCTGTTTGGCTCTGGGTGCCGGACATAGCGCACGTAAATCCATTTGTAAGGCACTTAGGTAGCCCGACTGCCAGCTGACCGAATTCACTGGGCCCCGTGGGTATCCAGTGCTGCTGAGAATCAGTCAGTTGTCAAGATGCCTAAGGGCATGTCTACCCTACCTCTGTGCCATGCCAGGATCACTGCAGCAAGGCATGGCCCCTTCAACTTGCTCCTTCCCAGCATATGCCAATGCCTGATGATGAGACAGAAAAGATATCTTATAGCAGTGCTGAAAGTACACCCAGGACTATTCTCAGGCTCTCTGTCTTCGACGTGTGTCTTGGCACACATTCTGCACTGGCCTAATGCAGGTGCATTTCTTAGGAGGCGAGCACTGAGATGGCATAGATATGTCCTGACTTTTGCCACAACCTTGAAGCCCAAGTCCTGCAGCAGCAGAGCAGTGAACAGAACTTGAAAGTCCCAAATCCCAACCTACTGGTTTGAAGATAATGACGACAATGACATGTTCTTTGCCTTAACGACTCAGGGCCCAGGCCCTGTCATGCTGGGTGCTGTACATACATGTAAGAAATGGGCAGCTATCAAAGAGCTTGCAATTTAAGTTGAGATAGGAGGTAGACAGAAAAGATGGGAGGAGCACTAGGTAGCAGCGAGACAGGTGGGATAAGCATTAGACAGAGGATGCCAGATGCCTTCCGTTCTATAGGCATCATGGCACAAAAAGGTTTCAACGTGAGAGTTAAAGGCTGCTGTATTTTGTTTTTCTTTACAGGGATGAGGAGTTCCATGCATAAAGACCACGCCTGCTTGCTGGAAAACCTGCAAAGAAGCAATCCTCGGTGTTGTGGGCAGAATGGCAGCAGAAGTCTATAGCACAGCAGAAGGGCTATAGAAGTAAGCCAGGCAGAGACAGGCCATGAAGGACCCTATAGAGTGAAGTCAAGTCTCTTGTGCTTGATGCTACTATGGAAAAAGAGGTTGAAAAGATGAGCCAGGAAGATACTTTCTGCAGCAGTCATACTGACTAGATTTGAGGGGGAAGAAGATTGTATTTGCCCAGGCCAGAGAGGCAGGGGATGCAGCAGCAGAGCACCGAGGTCAACAAATGCTAACATGACCATGCAAGGCATGGATAAGACGGTCACTTCTCAAACTCTAAGCAGCAGAGGCGTCTGCCTCCCTCCTCTCCCCTTGGTGCCTGTGCTCTTCTAGAGGACATGGCATACCAAAACCCAGCAGCCTGATGAAACAATGGGAATGGACTACATTCAAGTAGGTCAGGGGAGACACTGCAGGACACTACTTCTGAGCTTGTGGAAAAGCCCCGGGCTCAACTCCCGAATGCCAGGAGGATTCACTTGAGAAGGGGTAATCTGGAATACTGCGCTTGCACTGTACGAAAAGGGACATGCAAAGCAGAGCGACTGCTCCACACAACCTGGTGACCTGGGAATGCCTTCCAAGGAGTGCTTCAAATGGATCCTATTCTCTCCCACATGCAGTCAGGAGTGCGGGGCCATGTCCTAGAGGAGGCGACGCTGAAGGCAGAACAGTCGTGTGAGCCTGACATGGGCAGACACGAGACAGCAGCTCCTCAGCACAGGTTGGTTTTGAGCTGGGACAGATGTAGCTCTTGGGGTCTCAATTCCATGCAAGCGAGCGCACTGGGGGGAACAATAAAGGGCTGGGCCCTGGAGTTCAGCTTGTCAGCAGGTGGCCGAAGGCCAGGGTGCCGCCTATTCACTGAGAGACCCCAGCAGTGCTACTGGGTTACCTAATGGCCTCCTTAAGTCCTCAAAGCTGTCTCTGAAAACTGGTAACAGGAAATGATTTTTCTAGGAGCCACTCACTGGAAATGAGATTTGGATGATAAATCAGAAACCCAGCCCCCAGCCTAGATGGCTGTTACTAAAGCACAAGTAAATGAAGCAAGATCCAAATGCCAGCCCTCTCGACTCAACACAGCTTTCACTCCCCCACCCCTAAGCTTTCAACCCCGACCTTGAGCTGGGTGTTATCCTGGTGTTCTCCCCGTTTTCAGATCCCTCAGCAGAAAACACACAATGCAACACTCAGTGCATGACCCTCGCTTTGCAGAGAGAAGCCTTCCTACCTTTGTGGCTTGAGTTTAGTTTTCTTCTTGGAGCTGGCAGCCACAGAGGTATTGAGGTTCTGGGGAGCGTCTCTCAGGCCAAAGGTCTTGGCAACATGGCCCAGGTGGAGGGCTTTGATGTGGAAGATGTGCTTTAGGCTCTTGGGGTAGGTGGTATATGCACGAAGGAAGGACTGCAGGGCTGGGAAGAGACAGAACGAGAGAAAGAGAGCATCATGTTATTTTTGTTGCACTTTGCATTTGGAGCATTCAGCTGTTCTGGGTGCAAGGATGTTGTCTGGGCATGCGGGACATCCTTTCATCAGCGGCTGCTGGGAGTGTTCAGCACATTAAGGACATGGGAAGGGTGTGACTGGAGTGATCCAAGAGGAAAAAGGCTGGGGAGAGGGGTCAGGAGCTGGTTTTATGCAACTTTGCTTCTCCCAAATGCGGTCCCTTTTTGTCAGGTGAGGTGGGGCTCTTAGCGCTGCTCATGACTTGTGGTGTTGACTTCAGCAGCTAGCAGACCAGACAGGGAAAGAAAGGGAGGTGAGAAGGATGAAGAGAGTATGTACAGGGGTCAGGTGCGTGGGGGAGGGAGGAAGAGTCCTTTGATATCATAATCCCAGGAGCCCATGAATTTTTCACCAGTTTTCAGCTAGTCCCTTGTAAGTATCTGAAAGACAGGTGGGTTTCTGGTCTCGCCACCATGCTGAGAACAGAGCTCGCCTTTTCAAAAGGGGAAAAATAATAGCCTGTATATTTCCTCCATCTCTTTACCCCTGTAAGTGCCTTCCTTAGAGGAGAACGCGCTCATGGCAACACTGCAGCTGCTCCTGCACCTATCCCACAATGCCAGCTGCAAGCATCAGGCTGCAGTCATTTCCTCTTTGCTTTGGGGAAAAAAGGAGGAATATTAGGAAGAAAATTCTTCCACTATCACTCAAATGCGCTCCCTAAAACCTTCCTGCTACTGCTCTGCTCACAACATTTCCCATTCCCACCTCCCACTCTGACCAGTGCCTGCACCTCCCTCTTGTATCCCTGACAGCAGCAAGCTCTACACTCTAACCTCCCCTGCCCTTGCTTGTTGAGCCACTGGACCAGCAAGTTTGCCCACAGCTTAAGTCTAATCGCTCAGCAGCAGCAGGAGATTGGAGTTTATGAACAGTAATAAAAATGTCATTTTACCAGATCAGCTCCTGGAAGGACCCTGGGAATCCATCAAAGCTCTGTTTACTGAGTAAAGTGAACTCCTTTTCCCAATCGATGAGAAGACAATAAGGCAAGTCCTTTGCACCCCTCTCTTACTTCTGTGCTGCGAGTCTTTTGGGGACGTCCAAACGAGGGACCAGTGTTTTCCAAGATAATGCGTAGCGCTGCCCAGGCCCCATCCTGCTGGAGAAGGTGCCTACACTAACCATGACCCAGCTAAAATGTTCATAAAATTGCAACGCTTTGTTCTTGCTCCATAAACTTACTGTGACAAAGGACAGGATTGTTCTAAGCAGGTATCGTTCTTGGGAAAAGAGAGCTGTGCCCGTTCTGCATTTGGCCCACTGGCTATTTCACTCCCATAAAGCTATCGAGTCCTCTTTCACAGCACAGCAACAGCCTGGATCCCAAGCATCCTGCTCTTACAAGGGCTCAGCGCACTTCCAACAGTTCTGCAGGGGTAAGAGGCTGCCAGTATCCCAGGGGAACAGAAATGTTGGTGGCTAGCTGGTATCATGTCTTTCATGGGGCCTTTTCCAGAGGCCGGACCCAATAATACTGACAACCCAAAACCTCTAAAAACCAGGACCCCTCCCCTCTACCCCAAAATCATGAGATGGGCTTAAATAGAAACAGTCAACACGGGCTAGATGTTCAGCTATCATAACCTGCCGGAGGTCTGAAAACATCCTCCTGGGAGAGGTGAATGGACACACTTGGGTGTGGGTTATCTTTGCCTTCTGGCTTTTTAACCTTGAAGGAGGCACTGAAGATATGCTTCCCAGCTTTACTCTGCTGTCACAAAGACCAGAAATTGAAAGCTGGTTTTCAGTGGGCTCTGAGAATCTCTTCTAATCCCAGGGCTCCAGGAGCTGGGGCTTTAAGAAGAAAAGACTGAATATCATGAGAGCTGGCAGCACTGCTAGCAAGGCAGCACCTCAAAAGGTGTGGAACAGCGTTCCCTCTACGCTATGTGGCGTGTGCAGCTGTGCCTGGCAGCATGGCATGAGCACGCCTGCGTACGCCAGCAGCTTAGAGGCAACGCCAGTGTGAAAGAAAAGGCCTGGGGGAGATTCTGCTCCTCGTCAGCCCAGGGAAAGCTTAAGGTAATTTGATTTTGGCAGAGGCCAGGTTTGCACCTGTGTAGAATTTGGCCCATCCTTCTCAACACTTGTGTCTTTCTTTTCCTCCTGGCGTGGAAGCTGGAGAGGAAATGAAGCATGTGTGACAAATATTAGTCCCGCTGTTTAATGGAGGACTAGGAGATACTCAAATGCGAGAGAGAAGGGAGGTATCAAAGCAAAGACGGAGAAGAACAGCAGCGCCCAGCTCTGGATGCTAAACCCTGAGCCTGGCCTTAACTGACCTGCTATGCAGGTGGAGAAAGCTTCAGTGGGACTTGCAGTCCCACCCACTCCTGCTGCCCGACAAGAGCCGCTTGCCAGCTGTGGGGTGGGGGCGAGCACAAATAGGAAGACAATAGTGAAGCATCTTATACAGGCTCCCTATCAATGACCTTTCATTTCTCCCGACACACGAGGAGACGGGGGTAAGGGTGCAACGCTCCATCATTGGCTGCAAGATGGAAATCTTGAAGGGGAAAAGCAATGCTCTCATCCTCCTCTGTAATCACAAAGGTGTTGGCCAGTAAACGCAATCTGTCCAGCATTTCTTGTGGTTGCCTCAATCTAAAATTGGAGTCTGGAGAGGCCCCAGCCACCTTCGAATCCCACAGGAGCAGAGGGTGCTGAGCATCTCCCCAGATGAGGGCCAGTGCCCAAATGATCACTTCCTGAGATACTTATTCCTCCTCCCTGCCAGTGGCTGATTGATCTATCGTTTGAACCGCAACATCTTCACCAAGGTGTTTTTCAGCTTCAAGAAGACAGGGCCAAGGGAGGATGTGAGGGGTGGGTGGGCAGGGAGCCATGCTCCGCTTGCAAGCAGCCTGCCATCAAGCACTGGTTATTAACATTGACTAGGTCAGAGAATGCAAAGAAGGGAAACAATTGCATCCCTGGCACTGTTTCCAATTGATTGTCTGCCATGAAGGCAAGAGCCAGCTGCCATGTTAATTATTCATGATTCTTGGCTGGGAAGGGGAGGAAGAAGGGAGTTTAGAGAAGCCAGTCAGCGGTGGAAAAATTTGCATATGCATATAGCAGAATAAGAAGGGCGGGCAGGGAGGTATAGCCCTTGGACAAGGCAAAGAGCGGATGCATCATGTTTAAACGTTTCATGACTCTCTGCTTGCATTTCCTCACAACGGTCATTAAGAGTTCACAGCTTCTAGGCTCCGTGATCAGAATGTGCACGTGCGCACACACGAGTCACAGCGCGTGCACACAGACATGGGCAGGGGTCTGTACACAACCAAGCCCGTTTAGTGGCTTCCTTTTGTCATGGCGTATTTCCAATAGCGTGGTCTAGAGGACGAGCATGGCAGCAGGAGCCATGACACCTGAATTCTGTATTCCCCTCCCCTCTGCTGCCTGATGAGTGACTTTGTCCAGGCCACAAAACTGCTCTGAGCCTCAGTTTCCCCACCTGTATCCTGGGAACAACAGTATCTCCCTACCACATGGAACTGCCAGTAAGTTCAGCAGCGTAAGCCTGAGGATTTGACCAGTGAGTGTGAACTATCTAACGTCTCAAGGCTTTTGTATGCGCTGAGCCCCTTAGAAACTGTGTTTCAAAACCACAGCATCAAACATGCAGTGCACAGCAACACACAATGGCAAGGCTCAGGTATTATGCTTTGCAAGTCTCTGGCACCTTCCATCTTTGGAGCTCCAAGCACTTTGTAATCACTGATAAATTAAGCCTTGTAGCCCTGCTGCGAGGAAGACAAGAATTAAGGGAGAAAATGAGGCAAAGAGAAGTTAAAAGATGCATCTCACATCACCCACCAGGCTGGCTGCAGAGGCAGCAACAGAACCTCACGGTCCTGGCTTCCAGTCCTTTGCTCTAACCACTTTTACTGACATGCCAATAGAAATGCGCCGACAGGGTGAGAGTAGGCTGACAGACTATCACACAAGCCCCTTCATTCACTATGGAACGATCCAAATAGTAGGGGATTTAGGAAATAGCATCCCTCTCTTGGGAACAGATCCAGCCACTTGTCTGGAACCGAACACAACACTTGAAACCCGAATACCTGATACACTGGGAGCAACCTTCGCTCCCCCAGTTCATGCCGTTACGGTGTGATACTCCCTAGTCCCTTCTTTTTTGTTGTTATTCCTTAAACCTGAATGACCTTGTCATACAGACGATACCATCCATTAGAGAAATGCTTAACCTTTTGTTTATAATTGCACACTGTATTATTTATAGCATAATGAGCACGTGCCATCTTTTAAGAAGGGTGAGTCAAATTGAGAGTCAAGCTCATCATATGGAGTGAGCCTATAAAGAACCCTGTTCTTTCCAAAACCAGTGAGAGGGTCTAAAGCAGTGGTCTCCAAAGTGGGGTGCGCAAGACGATCCATTGGGGTGCAGGAAGAAAATATTAGAACTTCTATTTATATTTATTTTTTATCTCATCCTTTTTTAATTTCTATTTTTTTGTATATTTTATCATTTACATAATGTCTTAGTACAGTAGTACATGTATATAATTTATAAATAAATAGACATATATTGGGGGGTGTGCTCAAAATTTTTTTACTGATAGGGG